GTACTTTCTCGTCACCTGTGTGCTTCACACAACAGAGCCCGGGTGAATGAGGGAAGCTGTTTACACGGGCCCCATTTGAAAACAAGTGTTGCTCTGCAGTTTTTGCTGCAGCCAGGAATGCTGTGGCACATTGGTTTCCATAACAACCATTTCTGCTGCCTATGACCTCAAGATGCAGGAGAGGCAGTTTCTTAATTGGCTTCACACAGAACACTTCAGATTGGGCACTTTTTTCCTCCGCCTGCTTGGGAAATGTGTGCTTATTAGCACATGGTCACAAAATGAATGTGTGTGGTTGTTCGGCAGCAATGATCAGGAAAGGTGCCGAGTGAAGAAATGGGATGGTGTGATGAACGATAAGACTGAAAAAATGACAGAGCCTTGTCATTTCCACAGGCCTGGCCTCGCTTGCCCTGTGCCTCATCTGGAGTAAATATGGAAAGAGATGTTTATATGACGGTGGACATGATTACCACGGTTCATCTTCGGATCATGGCATTAGGACGTCACTCTCTAAGGCCTGTGTGTGCAAGATTTGGTCGAAGGGCCTGCTGAGAAATTTCTGAAATCAGCAAAGCCTTCCAGAGTGATTGTCCAAGTCAGGGGAAATTCTCCTGAAAGAGCAAATCAAGTTTCAATGATTCACAACCACTGAATCATTAAATTCACTCGTCTCAATGCTAGTTCAAATGCATCAGGAGCTGTTAGTGAAGATTCCCAATAGTTCTCTCCAGTTGCCAGTGTAAAGTCCAAAGGTGGTTGTTATGCGTTGCCAAGGCGGGAAGGAGCAGCAGCCTCTGTAACATCTGGATCATTTTTGCTTGGTCTCATTCTGATGCAATGCTTGCGTGGCTGCGGAAGGGCCTCTCGCAAAGTGCGCTACTCCCTGGTGTAGGCTCTGTGGTCCCTGGGAAAATGCCTCAGGGCTGCACTTTGTCATCAGTATTTCATGGAAATGCCCAGGGGCCAGCATTCCTAACGACCCTACTGACTGAGGATTTGCACACGTGGTTGAGTCTGGAAATCCGTGTAAGGGGAATATTTTGGTTTACCATCAGCAGGAAGCAGTGGCCATGCTGTAATAGAAGTTGATTCGGTCTGGTGGGTTGCCCAAAAAAAAAAAAAAGACTGAATTAGGCCCAGCATCCAGAACTGAGCACAGAAGGACCTGAAAAGCAAGTGTTAATGTTGGTAGAAGCTCTGTTGTGGTTAAGATCCTTAATCTGACCACAAAGGGGCTGTTTTCCTTAAGGGCAATTACACTGCACTTTGATGGCCAGTTTCAAGTGAAAATCCACAAATTGTTCACGGCTTTGTGAGAAACAGGTTGGCTCCACATTCTGCTGTTTCCCAGAACAGCTCTACTTGACCCATTGCTTCTAGAGTGGGCTTTTTTGTGTTTCTCTCCCTCCTGGCTAGAGAAAGGTGATTCCTGCACCAAGACCAAGCCCTTTGCCCTCTTCTTTTTGGTTAAATGATGAACTCACTGTCATGGAGTCGATTTGAGATCATAGGGACCCTCTGGGACAGGGAGGAACGGCCCCCGGGGGTTCCTGACACTGTGACTCAGTAAGGGAGTAGAAAGCCTTGTCTTTATCCCGAGGAGTGGCTGGTGATTTCAAACCACTGACCTTGTAGTTAGCAGCCCAGCGCATCCCCACAGCACCACCAGGGTATAGGGGAGCGGGAAGAACTACACTAACATGTTAACGCCGAGTTGCCGTTAACAAAACCCAGGAGGTGGGTTATTTTTCTTATCAGTTCTCTTGCCCACCACAACTTGCCCCTGAAGTTAAATAAAGAGTGTACACTCTGTCCAAAGACCAGCTAAACCTACTTTCACATGTTTATGTATTTAAATTGTGCATACTGGTACTTCTTCAAATGATGGCTTGCTGGCAAGCTCCAAGCAAGATTAATAGAGATATATATCCCAGCATGGGGGCATCAGCAACTTTCCCAATTGGAGACCAGGCCTCTGGGGACATCTGTAGGAGGCCCCAAGTGACCCTCTAAAACAGCGGTTCTCACCTGTGGGTCACGACCCTTTTGGAGGTCGAAAGACCCTTTTGCAGGGGTCACCCGATTCATAACAGTAACAAAATTACAGTTAAGAAGTAGCAACGAAAATAATTTTAGGGTTGGATGTCACCACAACATGAGGAATTGTATTAAAGGGTCGCGCCATTAGGAAGGTTGAGAACCACTGCTCTATAAGAAAGCAATATGAAGCACCATTGCCACCGCATCCTGGGTTTATGGCAGCCCCTTATGGCATGTATTTGAGAAGTAAGTGGGGGTCAGAACCGCAGGGTCGCGAGTGGGTGTGTAAAACAGAAATCCAGTATGTTTAGAGCTTCCTGTCTGTCACCGACATCCTCTCATGTCTACTGAGAATCTCATTTCTGACTGGAGCCAGGCCAGCTGTGGTCACGTTCATGGCTCAAGAAATCGGTTTGCAAATAAATTTACTTGATTCCAAAGCCATGGCACATCCTGTGGTTGCTTATAACAAGTTTTTATTAAAATAAAACTAGTCAAAAAATGAATGGGCCCAGAAGAATGTGGGTGGGACCTGTGGGCAGAAGGTATTTGCAATCGCCATTGTCCCTTTTGTAAAATGTATACCGAATGAGAGATGTCATGTACATATTTCTGTACATGACTATTTTGTGTAAACTTAAAGAAAATAAAATATTTTTAACTGTGAGTATGCTGGAATTCTCGACAGTGCCAGCCATATCTGACCGCAGTGCTTGTGGGATTGAACCTTTCCCGTCTTCAAGAACTGAGCTGTGTCTGTGAGCGCCCCGAAGCCTCAGGAGGATTATGTTTCTGTCGCGTTGCCTCCAGGGCGAGCATTGGAATGTCAAGCAAACTGGGTACACGTTATCATTGCGCAAAAACATGTTATGCGTGTTATGCTCAGCTACTTTTGAAAAGACTTACTAGAAGATGCCAGAGGGGTGCAGAAGCAAAGGAATCATGTCATTGTAAAAGATAAGTCCATTTCCAAAGTCTCTGAGACCACGCCTGACCCACTGTCCCCAGTTAATTCCAACTCAGGCAGCAACTCAACAAACTTCCTGTCATTGCACTGATTCCACCTCAAAGTAACCCTATCAGGCAGAGTAGCACTGCCCCTGTGGGTGTCCAGGACTGTAACTCTTTATAAGAAGTCGCCCTTACCTTTCTCCTGTGGAGTGACTGGTGCCTTTGAACCGATAACCTTACAGTTGGCAGCCCAGTGCATAACCCCAACACGCCACCAGGGCTCCTGCCTTTGATGCATGGCCACCCTATAGAGCAGAGTAGACCTG